TCCTCAGTGGCAACAAAAGGTACATTTTCCACCTTGAGCACAATGTGGTGCCCACCTGTGAAGGCAATGCTGCCAGCCAGCGTGCAGAGGCATCTGGGCTCACAACCACTGGGCCTGGAGCTCCGGCATCAATATGCTCGGTATCTGCAGTCTTCCCTTAACCCCGTCTGAGTGTATCTTTATGATTCTTATCTGCTATCAGTTGGCTTATTTTCTCTTTATTTCTCAAATCAGTTTCCTGAGCAGGAGATACTCGGATTGATCTAATTGCTAACTCTAATTCTCAAGAATTAGGAAGAATTGGTTGAGCTGGACCGCATCAGACCATACCGGCTAGTCTCTGGACAGGAGGTCCTGGGTGAGAGGTCCACTTCTATCCATCCACACATGGCCAAGACGGGATGTGGGTCATATGGTGAAAACACAGCAAATGCCGGATAAGGAACAGCTTGAGGACACTTCTGTCATTGGGGATTATCACTAGGGCAGTTTTTCTTCACCAGGAATGACGAGTCTGTTAGCTCCCGTGATTGATGCATCTGGTGCATTCCCCTGACTCACAAATAATAGGATAAAATCATGAAGATGATGGGGTGGGGAAGATGATAAATGTCAAGCCTGGCTTCACCTTCAACACTGTCTTCTTCCTGAATCATTGGCTGTCTCTGAGAATGTTATCAATTTTTATCTTCCAGAAGCCAAAGGGCTGACTTGGTTTAGGGTTTCTGAGGGACTGGGAGGGAAGAGGAACTTCTAAGCACCGAGAACTCTTTTCCCTGACTCGGAGCACACATCTGCCATCCTCACTGTGAGACAAGTGGTCTTTAGACAGATTGAGCATTGGGCATAGAGTTGAGAGTTGAGCATTCTCACCTCCTTTCTCCAAGCTGGACAAGGGCATGTGTGCCCTGTAACTTTCCCCGGTAACTGGGAGCATGGCTATGGCTATGGGTGTGTGGCCCTCTAGATTGTTTCTCCTTTCCCCCCTTGTGTTGGGTCAGCCCTCCAAGCTGACTCCAGGATTTCTAGCTTCAAATCAAAGTACTTTCAAAACAACCAGGAGACTCCCCGGGAGGCCTTCCTCACACAAGCTCCTGTGGCAGTGTGGAAGCTCTGCTGTTACTAACTGTGTGTGATCTAGTGAAGGGAAAGACACCAGGACACCTCCTTTCTTAATCAAATAAAATCACTAACCACCAGAGGGATGAAATCTGTTGAGGATGGTGGGATGGACCAAAAGCCCCCTTAGAATGTTCTTAGTTGGGTCAGGATAACTGAGGCAGCCACATCTTCCTGGGTTATCTTCTGCCAAGGCCAAGAGTGCTGTCCTAAGTTTAATCCCTTTTTGTATGAACAGGCTCCTAGAATCTTTGAATTATAATTTCCAAAAGCTTGATAGTTCATTTCTCCAAATTGTTGGACTTTTTCTATTAAAGGGGTGTCTCAAACAAACAAACAAAAATGGTATCTAATCTAACATAAAATAACACCAAAGTGACTCGGTCTGACTCTGGAGAAGACGTGGCTTAGTGGTTAAGGGTGTGGACTTTACTATTCCTTAATGTACTTGGGTTCAAATATTAACTTTGTGACCTTGTGTAAGTTATTTAAGCTTCTGTTTCCTCCCATGAGAAACGGGGACGATGCTGATGACAGTAACTCTGCATTGTGTGTCTATTAAATGAGATTGTGAGCATGGTAAACACTTAGGCGCCAGCTGCTGTTTCTTCTCTGGCTAGGTGGGATTTCCCAGGACATCCATTAGACCTTTTTCCAGAGACCTCATGGAGTTGTCTGCGCTTTGGAGCCCTTCCAGGGGAGGGTGACAAACATCTCAGCTGTGAATCTCCTCCAGCTCTCTTCCTCCTGCCTCTAGGTACCTCCAGCCAAACATCACTGGTTCCAGAAAAGAGAGCCAAGGCAACAGCCGGCTTGGAATGTGCAAGCCTGGACCTGGGCCATTCACCAAGTGGAAAGTGTGCTGAGCACTGACGGGCAGAAATGACCAGTTTGGAGTTTTCTTTTAGTGGGTGTTGCGGCTTGACATCCCTGGGCACTGGACTTTCAGTATAGGGATTGGGCATGGTGGAGAAGCCTCACCTCTGCCTATTTATCTTGATCTATAAATGTTAACTGGCTCAAAGGACAGGTCTTCAACTCTGGGACAGCTAATCTAAACTCAGCCAGGCTTTTGTTGAATCTGTGATCTAAGGAGCTGGCAAATCCCTTAAGAACAGTGTCTGGGAGGTGACAGCCCAGGCAGATCCAGGGCTTTCAGTCTCCCTGTCATTGTGAGAGCTGATGTGCATGTACTTTTCAGTTTGCGAGGGGTTCACAGACCACGTCTAATTTAATCCTTGAAATAATCCTGTAGGTTGGGCAGAGTTTAGAGAGAGAAAACTCCCTGTGGAGTTTAAACTCTGTGAAGAAAGTTGAGGTCAACAGCTTCACCCCCTTGTTCTGCAGATAAGGAAAGCAAAGCCAGAGAAACCCAGGTCACCTCACTAATGAGGAGCGGCACCAGAGCCAGGACCTGGGACCTTTGTTCTTCTGCCTCCCACAGTGTATCTAAGCAGGGGAACTTGAGCTGGCTTGGGGAGCCGGACATGCAGATTTAGGCTAGTGTGTGTCTTAGCCCACTTTTGCATTGCTTCTGGATCAGTCCTGGAGTGAGGAGAGGGAATAAAGCCAGCCTGGGTGGCTGCTCCAGCTTTCAGCTGCCCCAAGGAGCCAGTCTGAGCCTTTTGCAAGTCCCAGTTGGGAATCTCAGATCTCTGATGGGAATTCTGCAACCCTGGGGATGAGTCACCAAGGGATCAGCTGAGCATTCCCTGGCTTGCCTGTTTTCTTCAGAATCTGCCAAAGTGCTGGAACGTGGCTAGGGTGGAAAGTGAAGTCCCTCTCTCTGGTCTTAATTCATTAGAATGATGGTGCACAGACTGTGTTCCCAGCATTGGATTTGCAGGTGTGCCTCAAGGTCAGAGGCTGTCCTTAGCCCAATGTCTGGTGGTGCTCCATCAGGAAGGGAGGGGGACATGTCATGAAGACCGCGGTCCTGAGGGGTTCCTGGGTGATGTGTGAAATCCCCTGAAAGGGCTGCTGCCTTGGGCTGTCCTCTGGGCATGGTGCCAGGCTGGCTATCCTGAGGTTACTCTTGGGGTTCCTCAAGGTGGGAGGGCACTTCTGGAGGTGCTTCTTAGGGGACGTTGGCCACGCATGCACATTTCCTCAGAAACACATCTGCTCAGCCCCACTACAAACAGCATCTTTGCTGAGTTATTTAGCGTCCATTAAGTTCATATTCAAATTAACATGCAGGAGGAGAAAGAGGAGGGGTTACAATCCCCAAAGGGGGTTAGAGAGGCATTTAAAATGTATGAAGATCTGTGTACCAGATGTTTGTCTCACTAAAATAAAATAATAAAACAACACAGAACAAAACATGGCACCAAAAACTCTGTCTCTGAGAGGAAGGGGAAAGCTCGGTGTCTCTTAACCCTTTCTTTCTCAGGCTTTATCCCAAGGTCACAATTGGAGGTCACCAACAGTATTGTGGTGGGTGCTAGACAGCCGTGGAGTCCCAGTGCGTTGGAGTTAGACAGTAGTGTTGGAAGCAATTAGCACCCACACAACAGATCCTTCAAAATCTTAAGCAACTTTGGGACATTGCACAAGGAGGGTTTCAGAGGATGAGCTCACTGTTCTGAGAGCTGTGTCAGAGGCAGGCCTCAGTGCTGAGGGGTGTGGTGTCCTCCTGGGTCAGCAGGGCAAAGGTCAGGAGGTCCTGAGTGAGACCCTTGGAGCTCTCTGCATTGCCTAGATGATGAGCCAGTGGGTTCAAGCCCCCTCCCAGCAGAAGGGGCTGCTCCGAGGTTTCTTCTCCATTCCCACCAGATCCCCTGTGCATGTCCAGGGAGCATCAAAGTACCCCAGACAATGCCTGAATATCTCCTCAGCCTGCAGTGGCTAGCCTGTGTGTCCCTCCTAGACTGGGAAAATGTTCTGCCATTGGAAACCAGACCCTCACTGTAAGCTCAGATCTCCCTGACCCTGGGAATGAAGATGAAATGGGAGACAAAGGGCTGTTTTATTTGTTGTTCTCCTTAGGTCTTGTGAACCTCCCTACCAAAGTCTACTCCTTAACCCATGTCAAGTAATAGTATGAAATTGTCTCAATTGTAGTTTGTGAATGGAAGAAACCCAACATGGACCCCGCTGTAGAACACCTGACTCAGAGCATTTCTGAAACCATCGCCTCTGGGCCAGTGAACTGCTAGTAACTGTGAGTAGCACCTTTTATGCCACCATAAAATCCAGAGGCACTTGGCCAAGGAGAAGGCAGGGATCTTGAAAGAGCTCTGGAGCCAGGGAAGCACATTCCATGAAAGAGGACTTCTGCAAGGAAAGCGGCCAGTTCTGCTATGTCAGTGCCCTGGAAGAGTCCTTCTCATTTCCTGGTCCTGTTCCATGAGCCACCTACCAGCCCAGGCCCAACCCATTGTGAGATTTCAATTTTCAGTCCACCACTACCTGCTTTATTTCTTAAAAATGGGTAATTCTGCTGCCTTGCTGGAATGCAGTTACATATCTTACTGAAGCCAGCAGCCCTGCAGAATAACTGGTATTTTCCTGTCTATAATAGAGATGTCCTTTCCTCTATGCCAAGGGAGCTCTTCCAAACATTTGCATTAGCTCATGTACCTGGGAAAATAAGCTTCTTTGCTACCTAATAAAGGGGAGGAGAATGCTTTTCCTAAAAACTGAACTGAACCCTTAATGAACGTTCTGTGTAAGCTTAGGCCCAGTTGTATAGTTGGGGAATGAACATTAAGCTCTGCTTCCTCCTATCTCAGGGCCTTTTATCCTGCAATTCCACTTTCTGGAACTTGGTCTTTCATTCATTCAGCACATACTGGCTGATCATCTGTTACACACTAGGACCCTGGCACCTACAGGTGCTGGGTGAACAAGCCAGGGGTATGGAGTATAGCAATTAAAGGTGAGGTGTGGTTGGACCCGTATTTATTTCTCACTGGTACCCCATCTGCCAGAGAACATCACTATGAGGACATCTGACCCATGGTTCTCAAAGGCGAACAGCGAAGAAACCTATGGGGAAACAGGGGTGAAGAGAGAAATATGAGACTGGGGACAATGTAGGAGCACAAGAAAAGCCACCCACCCCTCCTTTCCCAAAATTCATCAGAGCAGTGCCTTTCAAATTTTTTGACGAAGATCCACTATAACAAACAGGTTTCACATAATAATCCAGCATATACACAGATACATGTGTATCCACACAAAAATACACACATCTAGAAAAATTTTGAGACATCGCCAACCTTTATTATGTACGATGACTTTGAAATCCTATTCTCTTCTATTTGATTCTGTTCTGTTCTGATCTATCCAAAATGATGTTCATGAATTTTCTAGTCTAAGGTGCAAATGTCACTTTGAAATACACTAAAGGCAAAAATATGTAGAAAGGAAAAAAAGAAAACTGTGGGAAGAAGTAACCATTACATCTCTCTTCAACTGCATTCATCGAACCCTCTGTTTAGACCACCAAGGAAAATTCTCCTATAAAGCAAATTCTTCTGCTCTTATTTGCATTTAAGAAGACCCAACCTTCTGCTTTGGGGTTTGCTTAAAGCCAAGCCCAGCCTGATGCCTGTTTTTCTGCAGCCTGTGAACTAAGAATGGTTCTAAATGAAAAAAAAAAAAAATTCAAAGAAGAATAATTTCACAACACATGAAAATCACATGAAATTCAAATTTCTGTGTCTATACATATTGGATCACAGCCATGCTCGTTCGTTTGCATATTATCTGTGGCTGCCTTTGAGCTACCAGGGCCCAGTTGAGTTGCTGCATTTGAGACCATATGGTCCTCCAAGCCTAAAATATTTACTGTCTGGCCCCAGACAGAAAGAGTTTGCTGACCCCTGGCTTAAAGTGTGGTATTTTTAATGCTGGGATGGAGTGACCCTAAAATAAATGATTTTGCTGGTAGGAGGCCTTTAAAGAGCTGGCTGAAGGAGAATGGCTGGCTTTCCTGTCTTCCCTCTGGTCCGCAGGACAATCTGTGCTGTGCTGCTATTTGGTGAACTCACCTAAACACAGGAACTGGCAAGCAGCCGGCCAAACACCATCCAGAGACCTCTGCCTGGCTGTCAGGCTCTTTTGTGGCCTGGCCTCTGTGGAGTAGTAGGGGGGCTGGGGCTTAGACAGTGTGGCCCTTGAACAATTCCCCAGTATTGGGCTCTGACTTCTCCATTTGATCTTCTCTCCCCTCTTAGATTTGCTAGTAACACCTTCTCTCTTCTTTTTTTCTCTTTTTCTGTATGCTTACATGAATTCTAGGTCAGTGTTTTCCAGCAAAGTAGGTGACAAAGTAAAATTTTGAAATATTAATGAACAACTTTTTTCATTTGAGGGTCTTTTTGTCTTTACCCTTCCTCCTCTCAGATTCCCTCCTGTACTAGTGAAGCAGTCGGTTGTCTTGGACTCTTGTTCCAAGGGAGTATGGGGGTGGGTGGGGGTGTCCCTATAGTTCTGACTGTAGGGACAAGAGGCCTTGAGGACTCTCAGCAGAAACTGCTCCAGGAAAACATTAAAGGAGAGAACAAGACTTCCCCCACCTGGCTGTCTGGGCTGAAGTGGGTGGGAAACTGAGAGGGTTGCTAACTGAAGAGGAATCAGCGGATAAGTGAGGAGATGCAGATCCTGGAGACAGGGAGGCCAGCACTCAGCAGGACATCTCAGCAGAGGAGCCAGGAGGAGCAGGCTTGAGCCACCTAGATGGGTCAACCTGAACTGAAGGAAGCTCACCCAGGGGTACAGGCTGGCAGCAGCAGCACTTCCTTGGGTGACTCCACTCTGGCACCATACCATCCCAGTGTTGGCTCTGTCCTCATCTGATGAGGACAGAGGAATCACTGCCCTTGCAGTGTTGTCCCCAGATCTGAATCAGTCCAAGAAACAGAGAAAGGTGCTGGACATCATGAGCATGATGACTGACCTATCCTCGATTTCCATGTTTCCTGAACTGGATGGCCAGGCTGGTGGTGACCCCCAGGATGTGGTGTTTGAGACTGTGTAATGGGATTTGTGTAATGGGATGAGAATGAAAGGAAGGAGAGCTAAGTAGCCAGGCAGATATCCACCACACCACACAAGTGTGTGTCCCCATGTCCCATGACTTGATCATGTGATCCTCTTTGTCCTCACCGATTGCCTTCCACACAAGTGCCCAGTCTACTATGCCTGAAGGAGGCTGCACTGGGTGCCAGCCTTCCTCCTGGTCCCTTTGTGATGTGTCAGTCACCTCCCTCTGACTCTGGGAGATGGTCCCTGCCTTTTCTGCTCCATTCCTAGGCTAGCTTTGGTTCTTCCTAAGGGGGCCCCACAAGGGAAGGAGGAGGGGGTTGGAGGTGAGGTGAATTCCCTCATCTCCCCACTCTGGCCCAGGACCCTCAGGAGATTTTTCTGACTTGAGAGGTGGAGAGAAGTTTTTTGCAGTCTCCCTGGTGTTAAGGGACATCGGGTCCACTTCCTTCACCTGTGCCAGAGCTTTGAAGCCTGACCTGCACATCACAGAAGTCAGCACCACCAGTTTCAGCTCAATTACAGTAGACTGCTTGATCTCATTTATTTTCTCCCATATACTTGAAGTTAGGACAGCTTTAATTTGAAATGGAAATTTATGCAAATACTATGTAAATTAGGTCATTCCCAGATTAACTGGGGGAAAAAAATCTGGTCTCCTTAGCAGGCACCATCTGTTCCCTCCTCATTCTTTCCATATCTGAACCCCACCCTCCCCTTTCCCAATCAACTTGGAAACTTGTTTTCCTGGGGCTGAGAAAAGAGATCTTTGAAGGGAAAGAAACAAATCACCCATCAGTTTCCCAGGTAGGTGTTCAACTGTGTGTTCTGCTGTGGAAGGGGCTGAGGGAGAAGTTGTGGAAGAGGTTTAGGGTTAACTCCGGGTCAGTGGTTTGGAGGGAGCTCCACATCCTACATGTGTGCCAGTGAGCATCTGACCTCTTTCTTGCTGGTCTCTGCAGCCCAGATTCTTTCCCTCCTCCCCTTTGCCTTTGTCTGAAGGCTTCAAATGGCACCCAGAGACCCTCCTACTCCTTATAGCATTTGGAGTAGGAAGGCTTTGGGGTAGTGCAGTCCTCCAGAGTTGTGGGGGACTTGGTGTGTGTGTGTGCAGGGGAGGGGTGTGGTGGTTGGTTGGCTCAGTGCCCAGGGAAGAGCCTCCGATTCCTCCCCAATGGCTATACTCCACTCCTGCTCCAGAGCAGTGACAGCTTCAGTCCTGATCTGGGAAGGCCAAACATCCTATTTCTGTAGCTTCAGAAGGCTTCCATTGGACACCTTTAGCCTTTTTGTCCTCATAAAGACTTTAATACTATGGAAGCAGGGGCTCCTGGCTATCTTCTTTAGTGCCATTTTCTTCTTTAAGGAGAGAAAAGTAAGACGACTTCCTGGCAATTCATTAGTCCTCTGTTCTGCAGTGAAGCAGAGCCATAGCTGACCAATGGCAATAAGTAACTGGAGTGACAAATACTTTTATTGCTATGTGCCGCTGAGATTCCGAGACTATCTTTTATCACAGCAAAACTTAATGAGAACTGACTAATTTACTCTTTATAATCTTCATCAACATGTCCCAAAAGCTGCCTAAAAACTTAAAAAATATATATATTTAATGTATTCCTGTGATATTGTCTCAGTGTTTAGTCCAAATGAAAATAAAAGCATCTTCATAAACATTTTTTTCTTGACTCATAATATGACTGTACAAACTGCCTTGTGTACATGGTCGCTGGATCAGAGTAAGCAGTGGTACAGGCGTAGGAAGGGAGGCCGGAGTGCAGTGTGGGCAGTGGGCCACCCCAGTGTGGGCTCCAAAGGAGGTGCAATTTCAGGAGGGAAGCACAAGGTGGCGCCATGGCACTCTTCACAGTCACTGTTGACCACACTTGGCGCTGGTGGTGGAAAAGCAGTCACATTTTCTTACCCTCCAAAATGCCTCTCCCAGGGGATCAAAGTCTGCCAAGTTTGGAGAAAGTCATAAACGATGGGCTTTTAGAGGAAGAACTTTGGAGATCTCTTTCTTCAAGAATGACCACATGGGGGCATTGATCTCTATGTACCAACTCCAGGACTATGGAATCCCCTGAATTCTGAATTACAAAATGAACTTTTGAGGGGAAACCGCTGAAGTTTTTATTTCACTCCAAGGGATCAGTCTATGACTCAAAAGGGGTAATGAACTTCTGACTTCAACCAGTCATTCCATTAAGGCCACATTTGACAAGAACTTCCTCACCAGCCAATAGCCTGGGCCATATCCACATTATTACCAGATGCCCTGGAGAACTAGATCTGGGAACCTGTGTCTCTCAGTGGAGGAACCCAGAGAATGCTCTGAACCACTGGGCCCAAGGACTGACCCTGGGGCCCTCCTTTAAGAAACGAGAACTGTAGCCCAGCCTGGCAGCACACGCCTGTAATCCCAGCAGCTGTGAGACTGAGGCAGGAGGATTGCAAATTCAAAACCAGCCTCAGCAAAGGTGAGCCACTAAGCAGCTCAGTGAGACCCTGTCTTTAGATAAAATACAAAATAGGGCTGGGGATGTGGCTCAGTGGTCCAATGCTCCTGAGTTCAATCCCCGGTAACTGCCTGCCCCATCCACCAAATAAAAGAGAACTTTATTGAGGAGCCTGCAAACTCACATACACACTCTCCGCTGTCTTCACACTGAGCAACTAACATACTGTGCACATGAATGGCCTGTTAGTTTTCAAAGATACCTAAATGGGCCAATGTAAAAATAGAGTCACCATTAGTGAGGTTACTAAATTCACATTCACTTTGATCATTAGTTTCTCACCCACAGGATGTTCTATGTAAATCTAATATATAATTAGTCTACTATAAATCTAATATATATTAGACTCTAAGTAAGTAATGGAGAGTCGGTCAAATATTTTGAGTTAAACAGAAAACTTTACACTCAAAAATGGCTGGAACCACTGTCGTGGTGAAGGGAATGGAAGAGCCTGGTGTGGAGAAGTTTGATTACCTACAGGTGAACAGGCTGGGCAGGAAGCTAAGTCGGGCAGCCAGTGGAGCATACAGGCAGAAGTGAGAGCCTGTGGGACTGCTCAAGGGGAACCACAGCAGACCAAGGATAGCTCCTCTGATGAGCAAAGATGCAAATTTATAATTCAGTGTCTTCTAAAAGAAAAAAGAAAGCCCCTGCAACAAAACTACTTGCTATTGGTGTTTTAAAATACCCTTTAAATCCCACATCTGCCACTGTCTCTTCTCTCCTTCAAGCTGCTGAAGAAGCTTGGCTTCCCCCTCCTTCCCTGAGAACTGGGCTTGAGAACCCAAGCATCCGCCTCCGATATCTAGACCTGCAGGTGGGCGGTTTCCCAGGGACCCCTTAAAAGCAATCCACCAGCAGAAAGCAGAGACTGAGGTTTGGGATTCCTTTGTAGGTCTCCTCCCAGCTTTTCTTCAGCTCACTGCTTAAGAATGTCCTCCAGACGTGGACTCAGAGGCCAGAGCTCTTGAATATTTATCGAGTGCCTCCTGACACACGTGGGAGACTGAGAACAGGAAAATCAGGCCCAGGCGGGTGTCTGAGGAGCCTGCCTGGGAACTGGCCAGACTTTGCAAGTTTCAAGCTGCCTAGTTTATTCTGCAGAATCCTGCCCTGCCCTGCCCTTCTCCCTTGAGATGTGGGTGTGGAGCCAGTGGCTGCCAGGGAGTTGGCTTCTTGTTGCTATTCTCCATGCTGACTTCCATTGCTCCTTTGTAAACAATGGCCTGGGCTGACCATCTCGGCCTAGAGCCCTTCCCTGGCAGGATGCAGACTAACGCCGTGTCACAAAGCCTTGCTTTGTGGCCCTGACTGGAAGAGTTGTCACTAGCTAGGAGATGGTCCCTGGCAGATCCTGGCATGTGGTGAGCAGACAGCTCTGTGCTGGTCACAGTATTCAAAGTACCTCCCACTGGATGTCGCATCCTGGGTCCTGAAGTCTCTGCAGGATGTGCTGCCTCTGTCTTCTTGTGGAGCTTGCTGGCCTCAAGTTCATGGGCACTTTGATCACTGACCCTGAACCAGGTACCAGGGAGATTAGGAGCAGTAGTTTTTGGCCTGGTGATTGTCGCCTGGAGCCTGAGGCCAGCATCCAGGCTGTAGCATATGGCTGTGTCTGTTTCCAGGAATGGCAGCCCTAAGGTTGTGCAGAGCCTTTACACAGTGATCCTCCTCACATCAGAGGGATGTATGGAACCTGCCAACTCCTGCCTCAGAGCACAGGTCCCTAAACAGCACCCTTGAGGGTGGGAGACACAGGCAGAAAGAAATAACATAAGAAGTAAATATCCAGTCAGAAATAAAATAATAAAATAAAAGTAAATATCTCTTTTATCTTGGGATAGGGAATGTCTTAAATAAGATACAGACAAAAACCCGTCAACTCATAAAAGATTAATAATTTCAGCTAATTAAACTTAAGAACCTTGATTCATTACAAATACTTTCAAGAAACATCAAAGATAAGACAGAAGCTGGGAAAAAATTATATATGTGTTACATACAAAATGACAAAGGGTTAGAATTGAGGACATTGGAGTCCTGCTTTCCTGATGGGGTGGAGGGAGTGGGAAATACAGTTAAGTATGAAAATGGACAAAAAATATGAACAGGCATTTACAGATGGGAAAACACATAGGATCAGTCAACATAAGAAGATGCTAACCCTGTCAGTATCCAGTAAAATATAAGGCAGAGCCCCAGAGAGACACGTTTCCTGAGTCCAGGCAACCTGCTTCTATCTCCCTGGGCCTGAAGAGCCCTTCTCAGGCTTCTGTCTGGGATGCCTGGCCTGCTGGGCTCCGCAGAGCCCTCTGCCCTTCCTTCCCCCAGCTCTCTTCCCAGCCAGGGCCTGAGTCTGACCCTGATTCTTCCCTTTCCTGTCTCCATCGGTGGACATAGCAGAGCCTCCAGGGCCCACACCCATCCTCAGTCTTCCTCCCATGTCTCAGCAGGCCAAGTGGGCCCTAGGGCGCACATTTTCTTTTCTTTTTTTGAAACTGACAAATGGATTATTTTTTATTCTTATAAATGTATTTTACAATTTCATGAGAAATGAAACAAAGTATCACATTTTCACACAGAAGGGTAGTCCACCTTAGGACTGAATTTCAGGCTGACCTCAGAGCAGAGTCATGATAGGATAACATGGCCATCGATTAGCATCTCCTAAATCAAGTTCAAGTATGAAAGGGGCTGTCTTGGCTGACTGCAGAGCCACCCTTTCCCCCTGTGGGCAGCTGTGTCTGGTCATTGGTCTGGGAAGGAACCTCATCATAACACAGCGCACGTGCAGACGGGAGCCAGCCCCATGGAGACTGTATGCCTGAGCACTGCTAGCACTGCTCAGGCCTGCTTCTCAGAATCATGCGACACTTTTCCTCCGGAGCTTACCAGGTTCAGAAACCTCTACTGATTATCCTTTTGACACCTGAAAACATAAACTGAAGTGAGTGGACCTGTGCTTGAAATGACAACTAGAAACCACAGAGCAGATGGTGAACTTCTGCATCATTCTGTGCCCAACAAAGACCAACACTAAACAGTGGGATTTGGGTGCCACTTCTACTCTTACTGCTCTTAGCAACTGGTGAACCCTTTGGTCCAGCGCAGCTGAGGGACACTTCAGTCAAGGTCTAAGTCCTTGCTCCACTGCTCTCCTAAATCTGGCTCAGGGCTCCTCTCCTTCCCAGTGTCTGATTCACTTTGGATTCTAAGCCAGTCCAGGCACAATGATCACCATTTTTCCTCCATGACCTTTATGAAAACAGCAGGCTGGGTAGTTCTCATCAACTGTATATCTAAGGAGATTTCACTTTTTTTTTTCTCTCTCAGTGTCTCACTCTGTTTCTACTGTGCACTCTGCAAATCAAGCTCTCATTACTGAGATACATCAGTGAACAAAAAAGTCTCAAATCCTTGCCCTCGTGGAGATTGCACTCCAACAGAGGAGAAAGAAAATAAGCAGAATAAAAAGTGAAACCTATGATGTGCAGAGGGTGGTAAGCAATCCCCAAAACAGCTTTTAGATATTTGCATGGCACTACAGCTGTAAAAATAGATAGTTTTACTGACCACTTACTAATAATGAACATGAGTGGAGCAATCTCTTAGGCCAGGCATTTCATTCAGTGACTATTTATTTATTTATTTATTTATTTCTGATGGTGAAGATCAAGCCCAGGATCTTGTGTATGTCAGGCATGCACTCCACCATCAACCTGCACTCCCAACTTCTCAGTGATTCATTTCAATTGTATGATAACCCAGGTGGTAGGTGTTATTCTTTTGGGGGGTGGGTACCGGGGATTGAACTGAGGGGCACTTGACCACTGAGTCACGCCCCCCCGGCCTTATTTTGTATTTTATCTAGAGACAGGGTCTCACAGAGTTGCTGAGCCCCTCATTTTTGCTGAGGCTGGCTTTGAACTCATGATCCTCCCGTAATCCTCTGCTGGGATTACAGGCGTGCACCGCCATGCCCGGTGGTAGGTGTTATTCTTATCCCCAGCTTACAGAAGATGAAACTGGTGCACAGGGACTTCTCAAGATCAGCTGCTTAAAAATAGAGTCAGATCTAACACTGTGGAACTATGAACTCTTTATTCTTAGTCAAGCTGTGCTATAGTTTGAATGTCTCCACCAAAACTCATGTTGAAATTTAATCAGCATTGTGAGAGGGTCCTCTCACACTGGGATAGAGAATGGACACTTAGTTTGACCGTGGGATTTGGAGGCAGGAACTTTGGGAAGTGATGAAGGTTAAGTGAAGCCATAAGCGGGGGTCTTACTCTAGCGAGACCGTGGCTTTATAAGAAGAGAAGGAGGAACCCGAGCGAGGATGTTCTGTTCCAACAGATGTGCCCTGTGCCACCCAGGGACTCTGCAAATGATTTTGCAGAAGATCCTTACTAGATGTGGTCCCTTGGACCTCCCTTGACCTTGGACCTCCAAAACCATGAATTAAATTACTTTGATTCTTTATGATTTATGCACTCTATGGTATTCAGTTACAGCATGAGAAAATGGATGAAGATACTGTGCAATACACCTCTCCCTGGGCTCCTCTGTACTGCAGGCACCACATTGGGGCAGGAGTGTGTAGCCACAGCACATAAGAGTGATGAAAGGAGTCTTTCAGTGGGTCTGAAGTGACCACTGTCCCCCTCCTGTGCAGAAGGCTTTGCCTGCCCTGCATGTCCAGCTGACCCAATCTTGGCAACAATTGCCTGGAAGTGGCCTTTTAGCCCTGTTTTGGCCCTGCCAGGAGTGTGTTTAACAGGGCACAGTGTTACCCTGCTCTGACTCAGACTCTGGTGAAATGGATCCCTGAGTCAGAGGGGGCTCCTGTAGCTTCACTGCCTACCATCTCAACAAAGCAGGGCCTAAACCCCCGGATCTGTTGGGGCAGCCTGAATGCGCTTGGCCAGGATTGAAGGTGGTCTCAGAATGCGGAGTGCCCTGTATCCCCTGAAGACTGTTCTCCCTAAGCGGGGTCTATAGCATAGGGAGGGGGCATACTTCCCACAGTGGCAGGAAGCTGAACCCAGGAGAGAAGCAGAATGTGTGTATTCCTGTGTGCAAAATGCCTTACTCAATATGTGAGGCCAAACTCTGGTGCTTGCTCCTCCCTGGTTTGTAGTGGCAAGAACACTAAGTCAATACCAGGGGAATGAGTTCCCGTGTTTCTAGTCCTAAGCCATGTGACCTGGGCCAGGCTGCCCAACCTCTCTCACAGTCAATGTCTTTGTCTATAAAATGGGGCTCCCTTCCTGCCTGACTCTAGGATTTGTGGTGAGGACCACAGGAAATAATGTACCTGAGTGTGCTCTGTAAAATATAAGGTGACCTAGTGTGTTGGGCATGTCCATCATCCTGGTGGTGTCTGAAATTTGGGGTCCTATCAGAAGGAATCACTATGGGGCTTATTTGGATTTCAGACAAGCAGAAGGCAAAATTCCTGCTCATCAGAAAAGGCCACATGTACCAAACCCCTCCTTGTTCCAGAAACATCCTCTAAGTTTAATTTGTTCCATGAAAGGTTCCTGTGGTGATCCTTCCCAACAGTCTTCCACTCCCTCCAACAGGTGAGCGGCTGGGGAGCCAGGAGGAGCTGGGTGAGCGAGAGTCAGAGAGAGCAGGTGTCTTAAGGATCTGGGCTGCAGAGCCAAGGCTTGTGCCATGCTGGGTTTAAACAGGGCCCCGCTGCACGTATCACCCCCATCGGTCACGACAACAGCCACACCATAAGGCCTCTCCCCATGATCAGTGCGGATCCCAGCAGATGTGCCATTCACCCTCCACAGCGACAGATGTGCCCCTAAAACCAACAAGGTCCCTGCCCTGACAGCTCAACTGGCTTGTCTTCCTCTCTGGAGAGGGAGGGAGCAAGGATTCTGGTTGTTTAGACAAAGGGAGCTCTCGTTTATGGGGCCCCCTCCTGCTTGCCATATGCTACTTCTGTTTAATCCTCCCAACAGCTCGGTGAGGTATTAGCCCTGTTCCCTCTCCAGGGAAGCTGAGCCTTAGAGAGGCCGCGGCATTCATCTCAGCCTCGCAGTCGGCAGGCAGCAGGCTCAAATTGGAACCCAGATTTGCTGGACCCTAAATCATAGGCTCTGACAAGTCTTGTTATTAACCAGGCCATAAATACTTCCTAAGTACCTGTTCTGTCTCTGGAACTGCTGGGGATATGACAGGCACGGGAGGTGAGGTCCGGGGCTCCCGGGATTGGGGCAAACCTGGAGATAAGTGAGCAGGAGACCTGCAGCAGGTGTTCTCCACTCTTCCATCACACTCTGAGCCCAGCAGGGAGTCTGGGGGAAAAGCCAGGAGGATTTCGATAGCCTGGCAGCCACTGAGGATGGGAGAGACAGCTGTCAGGGCCAGAGGGAAGTGTGAGTCATCCCAGCCCAAGATGGACTCAGGAGCTCAGGGTGATTCATGCACACATAAAGAAGCCCAAGCAGGACTTGAGCTCCCATCCAGTTCTCTTTGAGCCTTGAAGGGGTGAGGAAAGGGTGGTTCAGGCCAACTAAGGCCTTGGCCCCCAGGGGTGTCTGTGTGGACATGCCTGTGCCAAGCCCACAGGTTCTGTGAGGGCCGCCCATGCCAAGCCCGCTGGTCCGCGTGAGCAGCTGTTTCTATTTTCCCTCCAGCCTCCATTCTGGGAACCAGGCCAGCATTCATAGCCTTTGCCTTTCTGTAAAAGAGAAAACTACTCAGGG